AGCTTCTCTTGATTCAGGTAATTCGTTGTGTTGTTGAGACATCATGATTATAGTAGAGGTGAGAGTACATTCTGGTGGGGTCTTGGCATAGTGACCGACTCGCCTGTGTGACCGACTCGCCCATGAGGTACGTTAATTAATTTAGAATTAAAATTTATATTCCTTCCTCTTTTAAGACTAGGTTAATAGCCCTAAACTAGGGCTTTGTTTATCTATTGCTTATATCTAAATTAATATAGGCTATAAGCTAACTAATACTAGATACCTATATAATTAAATATACTTAGTTATCTAAAGTAATGTGTTTAATCACCGAATCCGACAACTCACCAAACCCAACAAAATATCTTGGCACCACCAACTCATGTTACGAGTTTTCATTTTAATCACTATCAAAGAGAGAGCCTGCATATGCCATGTTTACATCAGATTCAGAAGATCTTTCTGTATCCTTTTTGCAAGTTCATGTATTGTGCCCAGTTCCTCTGCAGTTCCCACAGCGTCATAGAGCTGGTTGGCCTATTTTGTGATCACCACTACCATGAGCTTTCTTTGATCACTGAGATGCCACAGATGCCTCAGCAGCTAACTGCACTGCTGCAATACCATAGTTCATTGTATCACTGTGCTGAAGATGCTTCCTTTTATATGCCTTTCGCTTGGTCATTACTGCCAATTGCTCTTCAAGCTCTGTAATGCAGGAGGCTTGAAGTGCATTTTGATGAAGCATAAGTTCAGCACTTTTTACAAGCTGAGAGAAGCTAGCCTGAGCAGTAAGAGGTGACCATGTAAAGGAGTTGCTTACAAGCTTAGATTGAGATCCAAACTCATGTGTATTCCTGTCAGATGGTAAGCCAGTTATGGACATCCCATCTAGGACTGAAGAGGAGGACTGGGAGAAACTGTCTGTACCGGTACTGTCTGAGGACATGTGGCTAGTGATTCTGCAGTGGCTAGTGCCCTGCACAGCCTTGGTGCCCAGAGAAGGAACATCAAAACCGGTGTCAGGCCTCAGCCTCACCCACACAGGCACACACCTGAATACAATCAGTCAACCCATCTTCAATCAATCTTTCTGTCACCGTGACATCTTCAGATACCATCAAATCTGACAATTCCTTGGAGTCTTCGACTGCCATGGTATCTCTGGTAGTGGGGGTACTGGTGGAGTATGCAGCCATACTTCAAGATGATCCAATACTACCTGCACATTGCTAGGAACTAGTCCTGATGCCTCAAAGGCCTTTCGACAGTTCTGCTCTGTAAACATGTCGAAAAATATGTCCCTAAAGGCTAGGAAGAAGCCTTCCTTGTTGATATAGAAGACACGCCGGCATGCTAAGTCTCATATGCATTGGGAGTACTTCTGCTTCAACGGCAAAAAGCAGACTATGTCAAGCAGCTGGAGTATATACGATGAGTGAGATGGTATGCAGATAGTGAAGATCTTGTTTTCGAGGCAATAGTCCTTGAAATCCTGGCTGAGATGGCTCTCATGGCCATCTAAAATAAGCAGCATATACTAGCCCACTTGATACGGCTTTGTATATATGTCAAAGTGCTTCAACTACTTAAGACCAAGCATGTTATTTGTCCAGCCATTCTCAGAGACTGAGAGCTCCCAAGTATGTGGTATATTTTCCTCCTCATACCATGCAGAGATATGGACATGCTCTTTGTAGATGATGAATGGCAGGGTTATATACCCAGCAGTGCAGATACTCTAGATGACGGTAACTCACTCAGGATCACCTGGCTGGATGAGCTCAGGCTTTGTATGTCTCTCTGAGCCTGTAACAACCTTCATTGACCCAATTACACCCATCTGGAACCTGGTCTCATCGAAGTTGTGGATGTCATCATCGTAGACACCGTACTTGGCTTTGGTATCTGTAACCAGCATAAACCACATGTTGATTACCTCAGGATCTTCCTGTAGTATTCTCTGCCTATCTTTTGCTCGATTGAAGGCCATCTTGAGCTGATCTGAATGTGTCACAAATCTCTTAGCCCAGCATTTGCCTACTGGCATACCACCATGCACCCCCAACAATTTATTAGCCATATCTTCTACCTCATATAGCCAGAGTGCAAATCCTTGTGAATCGAGGTCGAGAATATATCGGACAAGTATTTCTTCTTCAGTTATAGTGAGCTTCTGGCAATTAGGTCATGTATCATGTCAAAATAGCTTTCCTTTGGCATGCTCAGTAAGGGTATGGTGCTTAATGTTGAAGATAGCAGCAGCTGCTCGATAGCTCTGAAACTGCTTAGCATTGTAGGCTTGAAGGGCAAGCTGAAGTCTACCTTCATGTTCTTCTAATAAAGCCTTACGCTGTTGAGACATAATTGAATAATCAACGAGTTGGTGATGCTAAGATATTTTGTCAGGTTTGGTGAGTTGTCGGATTCAGTGATTAAACACGTTAGTCTATATAGAATATATTTTCTATATAGAGTATCTATATGCCTTTATAGCCTTGTTTTAAATCAGCAAGCTCTGTATTCTTATAACATGCTGAATGGGCTGATGCACGGTCTCACCTGGTACACACTTTGGTGAAAATCTCGAAATATTCAACCCATCATAACTCAGCCAATATGGCTGCTATTGATGTAGCTTTTGTAGCAATCTCTTCACTGAAACCAGGAGAAAAAATTAACTATACTCATATTGCTGCAGACTATGGCATTAGGTGCTCAACTTTATCAAGAAGACATCATGGGGTTCAATAGTCCAAGGTCAAGAAAATCATCAAATATCATAACCTCAATGAATCACAAGAACAAGCCCTTGTAGAGTATATTGAGCATCTTAATATGCGTGGGCTACCTCCTACAAAGCAAATGATACGAAATTTCACCTCAGAAGTTGCCAAAAAGAATGTTGGCAAATGCTAGGTTATGCACTTTGTCAACCACCACAGCGATAGGTTGATCTCATGATGGACCTCTGGGATTGATGCCACATGCTTCAAGGCCGATTCAGCACAGAAATATGAGCTATACTTCAAGCTTCTAATGTATAAAATCGAGCAATACAAGATTGACAGCCAGCATATATACAATATGGATGAGAAAGGCTTCCTTATCGGAGTGACAGCTAAGTCAAAAAGGCTGTTCTCCCGGAGCCAGTATGAAGTTAAGAAGTTTAGGAAAACACTCCAGGATGGCAATAGAGAGTAGATTACAACAATAGCTTATATTTGTGCTGATGGCTCAGTGCTAACGCTGAGTCTGATTTATCAAGCTACCTCTGGCAATATACAGGACACCTGGCTGCAGGATTTCAATCCAGAAGTTGATAGAGCCTTTTTTGCCTCATCACCGTCGGGCTGGACCAACCATGATATCAGCCTCAGTTGGCTCAAACAGGTGTTCGATCGAGAGATGAATGTAAAGGTGTGGCAATCCTATCGTCTCTTGATCCTAGATGGCCATGGATCTCACGTAACAATGGATTTTATCGACTATTGTGATGCCAATAAGATCCTGCTAGCTGTATTTCTGCCCCACAGCACCCATACCCTTCAGCTGTTAGATGTCTATGTCTTTGGGCTGCTCGCAAGCACATACAGCACCGGCCTCACTTACTTCATGGATAGCTGCCATGGGCTCTCTACGATCACAAAGAGAGACTTCTACTGCTTTTTTTGAGCTGCCTGGGATGGAACTGTCAGATTTGATGGTATCTGAAGATGTCACGGTGACAGAAAAATTGAATGAGGATGGGTTGACTGATTGTATTCAGGTGTGTATCTGTGTGGGTGAGGCTGAGGCCTGACACCGGTTTTGATGTTCCTTCTCTGGGCACCAAGGCTGTGCAGGGCACTAGCCACTGCAGAATCACTAGCCACATGTTCTCAGACAGTACCGGTATAGACAGTTTCTCCCAGTCCTCCTCTTCAGTCCTAGATGGGATGTCCATAAACTGGCTTACCATCTGACACACCCCCTCAGCTTGGAACCCATTGCAAGCTGGACCCAACTGCATCTCCTCTTCAGAGTAGCATGTCTTCCAACTTGCCTTGCACTTCATCCAAGTCTATCTCCTTCAGGGCACTTGAGTTCTTCACTCTTTCCAGTCCTAATT